CTGTACCCAGACTAACATTAAACAGCATTACCTGTGAAACCTGCGCAGCAAGTTTTATTCTGTAAGGTATGATAAGCTTATCACTTACTATTTTCCAAGTGGGGTTTTTTGTTTGTTTGTTTTGGGTGTGCGATGGGGGTTTTTTGGTGGGTTTTTGTGTTTTGCTTTTTAAGTGAACTCATCAGACACAAGTTCTGGTTTGCCACCCACTGCAATTGGTTATATTATCTCCTATTTACAAGGTGGGGGGGGAAATACGCAACCATAGAAGTAATATAGTCGCTTTTAGTATTCCACATTTTCAGTTGTTTATCAGATCCTCCCACAAAATCAGGAATATTCAGTTATTTACTTACTGGTATTTCAATTCTGTTAAAGTCTAGTGAGTTCTTATCACCAAAACTTCAGGAGATATTCTCCACAGAACCACTTCATACTTTTATTTCATTAGGAATGTCATTAATCTTCATTAAGGAATTGTATCTAAGAGTGTTTAATCTGACAAGGTTCCTAATTATATTTATTCCAGATATACAACACTATTTTAGCATTCAGTTAGCAAGAGAAAAAGTCTCATCCAAAGACTGTTATTTGAGCAGTCTAACCAGAAGAGATAGACAATTGGATGCAGCAGATCACAATCTCCATCTTATACATTTATAAGGGTAGATTTTTGAATAAAGCATACCCAACCGTATTTCTGAATGTGGCAGTAACAACACAATAGGTTGGAAAGGAGAAAAGATAAAGACATTCCTATATTCCAAACTTTGTAACTTAATATGCAGTCATTTAAACCACACTATTTAGCTTCTGTAATCTACCTCGTTTTAAGTGATCGAAAAAAAGGTTGTGATAAATACTGAGGCAACGATTTCTTTTCCTGTTTGGTTACAACTAAGAGCAAAACCTTCTCTTTAGTCTTTTATTCTACTGTTGCTCTCCTGCTGACCCCCATCACCCATTCGTGAAAACTGAAATTCATCTACTTACAAACGAGCAACAACAAAAAACCCACCACACGCACTTCAGGGAGCTAGCTACTCCATTCCTGCCCTATCTATAAACAGAAATGGAACTAGCATACTTGAAAACCTCAGACAGTTTCCTCAGGCATGGTAATCGTGACTTGTTCTAACAGATCAAATTTCACCAAATACATGACTGTCTCACTTTTCTCAGTGCTGGTTTTAGACTGGGGAGAAGCAGAGGGAGGGAGGGAAGAGCAGAAGATCACAGTTATTACCTTGCAGCATTGTCAACATGCAGCATGTGACTGTACAATGCAAAAACCCGGGTTTTTTGCTTTTTCCATAGCAAAGTTTTTAAGAGATACTAAACAATAATATGAGGTTAGCTTAATAAGTTTGTTTGGTTTAGGAGTCACATCATTAAGCATAATTAAACAGCGAACACTTAAAACCATCTAATTCTTATTTTCTTGGCCATCTATTCACATGCCACAGTGGCATCAGTTTACAAACACTAAGGACTGTCCTCTTAAAATTAAAAAGTATGCAACGCAATGATGAAATAGCGCCTTTTTTTTTTAATGTAACTTTATTCAAGGAGCAAAAACAACAGAGCAGCAGCCAGGAATCCATGGCTGCCTGAGGATCTGTCATCTCAGCCAAACACTATTAGAAATCACAGCCTTGCATCTGCTGCACTACCACATACACACAAGCAGTACAACAGGACTGACTTCTATTATTGGGAGACCAGATAACAGAAAATTCACATATTCTGGAGCCACATGCTTTCTAACAGAACTCAGAGAAAAACAGATGGGATCACTATCAAATGAAAGAAAAAGCTCTATCTGTGCATCCTTCAAAGAGGAAGAAAGTGAAAAAGTGGGACCAAAGCCCTGCACATGGCTCAACCATGGCTCCAGAAAGCACATGTTAAGAAGTTACCTCCATCATCAAGAGCACTGACTACTCAGTCTCTAATCAAAGTCTTTGAAACTAAAGATTGCCACCAAGAACAACCAACCTTCTCGCAATCTGTAGTTATAATACACAGAAAACAAGTCTATATAGTGGCCAGCCAAGCCCCAAAGTGCAGGGTAATATAAACTATAATCTGAAGCAAACTGGTAGCAGACTTCATATACTACGCGCCTTCAAATTATACAGGCACATGAATACGATCTCAGGGTTTCCAAATGTTAATGCAAAGAGCAGTCCTCAAGAAAGCAAAGCATACATAACGATATGGGATGGAAGTAGGTGCTAAAGATAACAGTAGCAAGGTCTGAAATTAAGCAAGAGGACACTCATGCAGTGACACCAGCAAGTAGGGCAAAACCTTCCTATTTTTGGTACACACAGTTTCTTCCTGTACTTCTCCAACTATTCAATGTTGAATTAAAAAAAAAACAAACAAACCCCCAAAAAACCAACACAGGTAACTTTTTTCCTCCTTAAGAACAAGATACACATTTAATCAACAACAGCAATATACAGAAGTAATTACAACCTTCCTGAACAGAAAGGCTTTATTCCCTGTGACAGATGCAATACCTGCCACCTTCATCTGTGGCCACTTCTGCATAGGATGGCCACTTCTACATAGGAGAAGCACCACTTTTGGGGGAGATATATTTCTATCAGAGGAAGAAACAGAAAGTCTTCTGAAAAAAGGCTAAATAGCTTCTTGATGTAGGAAGAATAATGGCATGCTTTTGAGACTGGCATTATGAATATTACTATTCCTATTAATTGAAATATGGTGGAAATGCCCAAAAGGCAAGAATATAGCTTCAGAACTGTTCTGATTAAGATATGTACATCCACAATCATGAAGAGAAGAATGGCTTTGGAGAGGGGCTGGTGGTGGTTTGGTTTAGTTTTTAAGTCAGCCACACCTACAAAAAAAGATAAACTTAGTATAGGTCTTGCTGATTAAATGGATCCTGAGGAAGGAAAAAGGGGCAAAAGTTGTCTACAGTTGTACTACAATTGTCTACAATTAACAAAAACTAAACCTTACTAGCAGTTGTCTGGTAAGAAACATATTAGCACCCTAGCTGCAACATTCAGAGCATCTTCTAGGCAGGATGCAAATCCTTCGATGTTGAGTTAGGGCCTCATGCTTTCCAGCAGCATCATGCTTAACATTTGAGAAAGGAGAAATGTCCCTGTGGCTAGAAGAGTATTCCAGTTTATACAAGAGACCAAAATCCACTCAAACCATTCCACTTGACGTTTCCTCCTCAATCACAGAATCACAGAGTGACACACTTAGCTACAGAGGCGGTATCACAAAGCACCTATTTCAATCGTTTGGGTTTCTTCCACAGGAAGTTGCTGGGAGCAGCACAGGTCTGAACCCATACCTCTGAACAGCTTAACTTTCCAGAGAGTATAGATTATCCAAATTACAGATATTCCTAGAACGGATGAGCCAAATATGCCAAGAGTATGCACATCTGTTAACCATTCCCCTCACTCCATTTCATAAAAGCCAGTACTCAGAATATCACATGGTATCGAGCTGTCTGGTACAAAACATTGACATTTCTCTACAAAGACATTCTTTTACATACATCTGTGTAAATCTTTCTACATATTTTTCCAGTAGTTCTGCACTACTTATGATGAAGTTGTTGTGTGGCTAAGCACACAATTCCTTCGGTTATTTTCATCAAGCCTGCTGACCTTCTGACCTTCTTAAAAAAAGAATCAAAGTCTCCAAATTAAACAAACACTGCTATTTTATTTTAAAAGCTTTCATCAGCTTTTCCAGCTGCTGTAGAGAGCTTTATAGAATTACTGTAAGAGATACCATGACATAACTAATGCTAGTTTCAAATGGCAATTTGGAAAACCAGTTCCTCAAAAAACGAGGAAAGCCCAGACTGTGCCAAGACAATATTGGCCTGAACAGTTAAAAGTAAACTCTTTACTATTGATTTATAACAACAACACACAGAAGAAATGCATGGACAAGGACACCCCAGAGAGGAAACATTTGCCCTGACCAGGGTGGAGAAAGAGATGCCTAGAACTAAAGGACAAGTTTATACATAAATTAAAAGCAGCAGTTCACAACTACTAATAGGAACACACACGAACATGTGCTTCTGCTTCTTTTGCTCCAAAACAGCTCTAATTTTCTTTCAAGTTTAAATTTATTGCAGAAGATGCCAACAATGGCCAATTCCACATCCAAAAAGCAAAGCCACTGATCTCAAAAGTTCCTGCATGCAAGATTTAACACATACATATTCACACACACCTCCCCCCCCGCCCCTCAATCGTCTAAGCTTTACATTACTTTGGATTTTAAAAGCTGATTTGAGAACAGCGACTAAACTTGTTCCAGATAACCTAGGTTTTATTCATTTCATTGTTTATTGCTAGGCAACACAGACCACGTCAAACCAGCCTAGAACCATGAGAAATCCTTCCAATTTAGATCAAAATTTCTCTTCTCACCATCCTCCCCCTCAGTGTGGAGGCCACATGTGTTCTTTTCACACCAGCATTCCCAGACAACCTTCTCTCTGACCAGGAGCTGACATTTCAAACTCTCTTCTCAACATCTCCCATAAGATGCACTTTATCCAAACCTCACATGGTGCCTGTAAATAGCTCTCTAGATCCCGCTTGCTCAAAGAATGAGTCTTTCTTAGTATTTACAATCAGAATTAGTCCCAGTCACTATACTGGCAAGTCCACAGCAGGTATCTCTTCACACAATTATCCTTTTCTTCATTTCTAGAAGACTCTAGCTTCTTTTCCAACATCCCTATCATTCGCAGTCTGTAGATGACTACCAGTACAGAAGAGACTGCCTACTACCTTTAGCTTACTTCCTTTCGTTGTAAGGAAGTTTTGAAGAACGCCAAAAAGGCAGAAAAACAAGAAAGATCAGAGATCCAGATTCCCAAACAAACCATAAACAGAGTGCTCTTAATTAAATGTTTCTTCTAGCACAAAGCTTAAATAAACTCAGTAACTTCTTTAATAAAGCAAAATAAAACATCCTACCTTTTGTTTATAGGTTTTTCATCTTTCTCATAAGGCTTCACAAACCATTTCCCAATGCGTACAAAATTCCGATTCATTAAACACCTCTCCAGCAGGTTGTGAACGGCTTTGAAAAGTAGAGTGCGACATTCATAAGAAAGTCCATTCTCCCAAATACCATCTTCTTCTTCTATAAGGCAAAGGGAAAAAATAAAATTAGCATTGAAGCCCATCCTATTATTTCATGCACATATCACAATATAATTTTTTCTCCCACAAGCTTTTAAGACATTCACAGCATAACATGCAACCAAAGCCTGTAACATTCATACAGTAACTCCACGCACATTATAATGGTCTAACTGTTAAAGGTCATCAGCTATAAAAGTATCTCATCTCCCACAAGAAAAGAGATTCAACAGCTATTTGTACACAGAAGGAAACAACTAGTACCAGTACATTACATATTTCAGCCTACAAGATCACTGTATACTGATCTGTCTGCAAGGTGGATAATGTTTTGGGTAGTCTGAATTACTGACACTGAAGAGTTAGCTGACAATTATGCTTAAAAATAAATTGCCCAAAGCCAAACTTCTAATATATCCTACTGTCTTTAGCTACTGACTGAAGAAAGCTGGGCACAAATATCATTGATCAACTGACCCTCAATGTTCATCAATTTGCTGGGGGGAGCGGGGGGAATACCCAGATTCAGAAAACTGGTAAGAGCAACCTGATTCTCCCTGGAAGACTCTCAACTGCAATTTCTCTTTTTAATTCAAAATAAGAAAGGATATCTTAAGCAGGCTAGTCCTGTTTTCCAATCTATACACAGAACAAAAGAGAAAAACAGCAAGTAGAAAAACAAAGCCCAGTTCATACTGATAGGATTCTGAAGTGAAATGCTGAGATCTTATGTGCCCCACAAATGAAACACAGTCATGGAATCCAACTTCCACAAGCCAAGTTGATTTGCCAAATCAGAAAGCAAGATTCATTACAAGAAGCTGTTATCTCTTCAATCACTCTGGCACACAATCACTGTTTAAACATAGTTTACGGGCCCTAGAAGTGTATGCCCTGGTCCAAAGAACTACAATGGCATTACAATTACATTACACAAGGAAGATGAGGGACATTTGAAAGTTCCTGCGGTATCTCTCAGTATATAAACAAGACCAACCATTCATGCTCAGCAACACACTAATAGGCAGGGTAATATAAGAAAACCTGAGATTTTGTCCCTAAATTGCTGGCAACCAGGTCTTATCTTTATGCCTACAATTCCTTGTATATCATGTTTTACATATATCCCTGAGGATCTGCTACTAGTCACCTTGGGCTAACCTAGCATAGTTATTCTTATAAAAGCCATTGCTTTTATACGCCAGCTAGCTGCAGACACTAGAAGACTGTCTGACATAGATAAGGAGACATATTTTTACCTCAGTCTCTGGATAGTCATGCAATAATTTAGGTTGAAAGGGACCTGTGGAGGTCATCTGCTCCAGCCCCCACTCAAGAGCTCCAAGTTATAACAGCTTGCTCATATCTCACATTCACTGCCCCTCATGCCTTCTCTGTGTACCTCCAAGAAGCGAAGCCTGGGTTTAAGACTCAGTTTCGCACAACAGGTCTTAGAATAGCAACCTGTCTGTTCACCTCTCCTTCACAGAGATTTTGGTTCAAACAGCTTTCCACTGGTTTGCTCGATGGTCAGAAAACCTCAGTAATACAGCCAAGTCCTTACATTTTAAATCTCCCTTTGAAATAAGCCCCTTCACCTTTATCTGGAAGCCACTTACAAGCTTAAAAGGTTGCAGTAGTATTAACTAAAGTCTCAATACCCTTAAATTAGAGAGCATGCAGAAAACCAGACATCTAAGAGTTTAGTTTAGGGGAGAAAAAAAAACCCCACACTTAAGGATCATTACAATAAACAGTCTTTAAGACAAAGACGACAGAAAAAGGAATTTCAAGATACTATCGCAACCAGGAGGTGGTGGCCATATTTGTATGTTGCTAGATTCCACACAAATGAAAGTGCGTTTCCACTCAAGATCAGTACTATGAGTTAAAGAAAATTAGTCCCGGTATCCTTCTCTGAGCGACAGAAGAAAAGTAAACAGACCTGCCCCATCATTTATAAATGAAGAGGTGCACACCATTACAGATGAATCACTACATGAAAATAATTTCCTGGTAAAGACAAGGAAAAGCAAGAAACCACATTTCCCAAATAAGAGACCTCACCGTGAGTTTCCCACCCTATCACCCTATTCCAGTTTTGAAGTTCAGCAAAAACTTGTTTTTAAAAACCATAAAGCTAGAAGCTAATCCAGCAACTCACTAAAGAAATATCGTACAAGTAGCTTGTAACAAAAAGCAACAAAGGTCCAAAGTCAAAGGGTATAAAATGTTTGTGCCAAGAGGACGCTTTTTTCCCCAGCTCAGAGATTTGTAGACATACACAAATGAGCAGCCCTATCCTAGAGGCAGCTTTGCTGCTCAGCACATACTGCTCAACTGGTGGCAAACAAGCAGTTCAATACAGCAAACATTAACTACAAAGCTTAATGATACTGGACTTTAACTGCACAATAAACTCCACACCATTTCAAAGGTTAAATAGTTGGTTTCTATATGGCTCTCATAATTTAAAAAAATCATTCTAAGAACATCCCCTGCATCAATTACCTATTAGAAGAGGAAATAGAAAGCGCCATTTCCAGCCTTTATGCCTAATTTTGTTTCGACATATTAGTGTATCAATGAGAAGAAAGATGCTGAAATTGCAAAGATACAGAAGTGTAATTCAAAGCTTGTATTTTGATGGTCATACTATGGACATAAAGGTGAGGTTTCAATTTTCTAAAGACACTACAAAGTGCTAGGTATTTCATTTAACATTAATAGCTGTACTGACAACCAAGCGATGAACAAAAGTTTACATGCATGAACTTGCCACAAGACCGTAATTCTTAAGAGCTCTCTTAGGTGTCTTAAGAGTTTATTGCTGAAAGAGAGAGCTCTTAGATGAGCATATTATTTGGGGAAAGCGTAAGGCATTAGATGGAAACTACAATTAAAACTCTAATATTTAAAAAAGAAAGCGTGCTGTAAGCATGCCTACTGATCAGGAGGAACGTCTGGTACCCAAAATAAGACCACCTGTTCAAACTGAAGTGCATCTTGCTATAGAAAGGGAAGGTTAAAAAAGATGACAGTTAAAGATACCCTCATTTCAGAACATTATTCAAATTCATGCAAAAAAACAGCCGTAAGTGTACTGTGTCTTTCTGAAGTCTATATAGCCACTGTCCCCCTCCCCCACCTTTTTTTAGGGGGGCGGATGGAAGGAGAGAAATATGACATCTGCTCACATCTCCCAACTATTTTTCTTCTTCATTCAAATTGTTGCTTCTCCACCTGAGAAAAACCCTCCTACTTAAAATATATTTACTTTGTACAATTTGTGTTAAGAACAGAGGTAGAGGAAGAGGCACTTTTGTCTTCTAACCTTTCTTAAACACAGTAACTTCAAGTGTTCAATCTGATAGTGATAATACACCAAAATAAGTTGCTGGCTCATTTTAAGAGGGCGTTAGGCCACAATTTCACTTCAGACAAGTGTTATCCACAAAAGTGCTCTGGGAACCTGAAGGTTACAAATATTTCATTTTTGATAAGTCCTCTTAGCTGTCCAAACCACTCAACTCCTCTGTGACATACTTTTATGTCAATCCATTAAACAAATATACATACATATCATCCCACGATAACTAATTTTGTTCCCTCCCTCTTTACACCATATATTAAGCAGAGAGTTTCCCTTAAATGAAGCTAAAAATTACCAGGAAAGGAAGAATTTATGGAAACAGTTTCCAGGAAAAAACAATTTTCATGCTACACATAAATAACAAACTTTTCTCAGTCAATACCTCCTGGATACTACCACCATCCAAATTAATTAAACAGTTGTAGGAGGCTATTTGCTTTCAGTACTTTTATGTTCTACTTTACATTCTTCATACAGTCCACCTGAACATCCACCTGAAAAGTTAATTTTTACTGATTTTTAAATTAGTTATAAATTATCACAAATTATTAAACTTATTAATAAAAGATTGCTACAAATACACAGATCTTTGCTTAATTTTATATTTTTGCAAGAATACCAATTTTGAATTTCTTGACTTATATTGTGACAGATAACTATACGGTATTAAAAATTACATTTTCAAGAACATTTTTACAGAATGTGGACCCTCCCCCTTCTTCATTTTAACATATAGCTGGCCACATCAGCAAAACACCAGTAAGCATCAACTCTTGAACAGGCTGAGTATGTTTACCATACCATTAAAAGTACCTTCCTAATGCTCAATGAACCTCTAAAATAAATCATGCAAAGAAACAAATCAGTCAAGCCTCCACTTTGGACTACAATTCTCTCCCCCCACCCAATTATTTCAATTACACAGAGGAAAAAAATCCATTCCTTAGTATCATGACAGACGCATCTTTTAGAAGTATTACTTACCTTCATAGGCTTCCTTTCTGTCAACATTTGACAGCATGCCAGTTTTATAGAAATAGACTGATGCAAAACCGATTTATACAATTGAAGTCCCTATATAAGCTTCAGATTACAAAGGAAGTATGATACGCAAAGTAGTGTGAAAGTGCTGCTGTATGCAGTATTGTCATAATAAACTTCAAGTAAATTTTTCTATCTAAAAACCAGATTTTTAAATTCAAATACTTTAAAATTAAATAAAGTCGCTCAAAGCAAGAATTACCCACTTAACTTACTGAAAAATAATTTTGAGGGCCTATATCCCTTATGAAGTAAGTGAGAAGCAACAGATTTTGTGTGAAAAAAGGGACTGAACACAATTCAAAAATACCAATCTAGGAATCCAAGTGAAACAACTTAAGTTTGTTTCTAGTACAGTTGTATCTGTTATCTACACTCACTGAAAAGAATCTAGATATCCCAACTAGTTGGAAAATTTCATCAACTGAGAAGCAAGCCAAAACATGACCTACTGTCCAAAATACCATACTCAAAATATTCAGCACCAATAGAAGTTAGTTTTTGCAGTGCTAGCCCTTTACCAGCATGACATATATAGGTTTTACGCTTTCTCTACCCAGCAGGATATTTTTCTAAATATTAAAAATTTTGAAGTGTGACCTTTTTGTAAGTCTGTAGCTCTGCCCATTTAGAAGAATAACAAGGTAACAGCTTTCCTTCACTATTTGTTACGTAAGTTTGGCTAGTCTGGTCTGCACCGCCACAAGAAAAGCTGAAAAACTCTCTAGCTGAATGTTTCAATATTCTCCTCCACACTGTCTTTGAGTAATTCCGTATGCAGATATATTTTACTTATATTGTTAAATCCTACCCTTAGTGCCCACAAAGTCACTGGTCATATTTATACAGGTATATAATGCACGTGACATTGTATGTACACCCAACATAATATGATGCAAAATCCTCATTTACTGTGACTAAGTATTTTTCACCTTACTCCACAGATATTTCACATGCATGTTGGTCAGGAGGGAAAAAAACAAAAGGGAAAGAAGTTAAACATCACCTTCAAGCTGGTGCTCACACCAAGTCACAGAAGTTTTTCAAAGACTGCTTCAGTAATTTTTGCATAATGCTTATCAGCAGTTTTGCTTAAGTGGCCATATGTCTAACATGGAGGACTGAAGAAATGCTAGAGCATCAGTGCACTACAAGGCAAGGAACATTCATAATGCCGTCTTATTACACACACAGGAACACACGTGTCCACCACAGACAAATTACTTAAGCTCACCATACCAACATGAGGTGCAAAACTTTTAAGAAAGCATCCTTTTTTTTTGGTAGAAGTTAAATAGTCTTAGGAAGCAAAAGGTACTTAAAAAAAAAAAAGCCAAGCCACTAGATCAACTATTTTCAAAGCTCACTTTTCTAACTGCTTGCAACTGGCAGGCTTTTTTGCAGAACCCTCAGTATGGTAACTGGCTCGTACTCTGGTTTCCATTGTATTAGAAGTAATGAGACACTGAATGCTGACATCAGCACAAACCAACCAATTCACAGATTTGTTTGGAGACAAGGATTTGATCTATAATGCACGTATATTGAAAACTACACAACACACAAGTCTTTGCTGCCACGACCATTGCTGTTTTTACCATACAGTACCAACAGACAAGCATCAGTACACAGACCTTCCTCCTTCTTCCTTCAAGCTTCCCTACCAGCCCAGCAAGGAGCTAAGACTAGCATTGGTTTTAAATATCTATCCCTTGCAGAAGCATGAGGAAGACTGTTCGGCAAACAAAAGCTGATTAACTTGATATATGCCAGGTACAAGGAAAACTACTTAATTTTTAAAGTAGATTAACAAGATTTAATGGACACAAGAACAAAAAAGACACATCTTATAGCTCACCATTTAAAAGATGCAATTTGAAGGTCAAAGGCATATAGTAAGCGTTCCCCTACTCAAGCATTAATCAAATTGTAACCATTTCCTTGGGACTACGCCTTGTACATCGTTCATACCCAAGTGTTCTCAGGTTTGAAACCATCTACTGCCAATTTAAAAAAATCCAAGTATACAGGCAACCACCTTAAAACAAGAACGAACCTATCTGATAAAATAACTGTTGATCAGAGCAGTGAGAAACCATTGCCTTATGAAATTTGAAGGGATGTCCTACTTCAAAGGTTTGACTTGCAGGAATTACTATAATCAAGCCTCACTGCCACAATGAAAACATAACCTTTGAGGTTGTTAGAAGATAAAATAACATTTCACTAACTTTTGTCTGCCTCTAGCTATGCTGACGTAGAAACAGACTTAGGGAGTTTTTGGTATTACATATAGTAAGTAGCTTCATAGGGGAGGAAAAAAAAAAAATGATTGAATGAAGTCAATAATACTGATCAATCAGCATCTCTAAACAAGTCTCCTTTTGACATGCCCCCAGGCAACAACAAACCCTGACCATCAACAAGACAGTTATCCAAGGCTTGATACGAGAATTCACATACAGCCAGTAGCAGGCATTCAAATGTATCTCCAGGGCAGAGAACGAACTTCTAGAATGTACAGGCCAAAGAGAGAGAGAGATATTTTTTTTTTTAATCTGATATACATAGATGTACACCCACAAAACTGTTCATTCCCTCTTGAACTGATCTTGGGAATGCACTCTGTAGGGGACAAAAGGATTCTTGAAGGCTGTCATATTTCAAATCCCCGAGGTTGATAACCAAGGTGTGTCCCAGATACTGAATGTCCATTGTTCACTGAAACTACAAATCGCCAAAAAAAAAAAAACCACCACAAAAAACTGTCAAAATACCAACCTCTCCTTCACAAGCATAGTTTCATACCAAAGGAAGTCAGAATCAAAAGTTACTAACATTGCTCTGGCATATTTCTAACTACAGTTCTTTCAAGGCCCACTTCCCCAAAAGAAGTCTGTCCATAGGCGATAAAGGACAGGCTAGCAGCAACAGACTCCTCTTAGCCCCGCTCCTCCTCCCTCGACCCATTCTTCAGGACAATACTTCACCTACCCAGTAGAAAAGTTCTAAATGAGGCAGCACCTTAACCGTTAGCAGCAAACAATTTCCAATCAATTTTGCAGGTAACAAGCCTCTGCCAGGAAGTAATTTATCTTTCCCATTGAAAATGTAACAAGCAATCATTGGCAGAACAGGGCAACGTGAATTACTAGGAGAAATTGTCCACCGATGAAAAAAATCCATTAGGTCTATGACAAAGGTCAGATAACATTGTTTGGGTTCAGCCATAATTCTTTCTTACATGAGGTTCACATTAAGATTTTGTGTAATGGGAAAGCAAAAAAGTGCAGGTGCAGGCACTCCTCAGCCATCTCCTCCACAATCTAGCTGATTAATATCTTTATCAACTTCTGGTCAGAAGAGCCAAGCAGACTAACACACTCTAAGAGATTATAATGTCTCCTTTTAATTAAAAAGGAGACAAAAACATGCTTGCAAAAACCGATATGTCGGATACATCTACACACAGACATAGGTAACAGTCTCATGAGTGATAAGCATTTAATGTAGGAAAATATCCAACAGCAAGACCTATAGAATAGCCCCTCTACCAAAGTGCAGATGTTCACAGGTGACCTGTCCCTTAAACCCTCAGAGAGGTTGAGCTGCTAAGTACCTAGGACAATATGCTTTTGCACAGGTCGATAAGCAAATAATTCCATAAAAGCATATCTACACATTGATCTAAAAGTTCAGATACAAGACACCATCATTTTCAAAAGGTTCCTCTACACTATATCACTAGTAGATAGGTTCAAGAGAGAACGCAAAGTTGCTCAAACAAATAATTCTGATGGCCACATAGTGCAGAAACGCACTCTCCAAATGTCTTAACTTTCATTTGATCTTCCACTTAAAAAAAAAGTAACATATTAGTCTCAATTTAATCCCACCAGCCAACAGCATACAAAATTTACACAGATACCTTCACACAAGTGTTGGTCTTTGCTCAGGCCCAGGCCCAAAATAGCATTTAGTCTAAGTTACATCTCAGTCATACAAAGGATGTTCTCTGCAGGTCAAGACTGAGGTTATTCATAGGGCAAAGTAAGGAAGCCTTAAATGCGCTAAAATATCAAGCAACCTACAATACAAGTGCCATTTAAGATGCAAAGTTTCTAGTTCCAGGACAAGATGGGAATACGAGCAACATCCCAATCTTTGAAATCAATTATTCAAAGAAATAAACATCATTTTAGTGCATCAATTGTTTTTTCAAATCATACTATTTTTGTATGAAAACTCCACGTATTATTAAATTGTTTCAAGTCCGCTTCCCCAGTGGCACTTCAAACCCGTATTTGTTCTTCAGCTATCCACAAACACAGACAGCATTAACAATTTCTGGTTACCAGGTCACCAAACCCTGGTCTCATTTTACACTTCAGTAATCTGAATACTGTACATTATTTGGAAGGAAATTGGAGCTATGTGACTTTTTCCCCATATAATTTGTGTAGTCTCACCACTAGACCTACAGAGATAGTTTAAAAACCTAACTTTGTCGCCTTACTGATAGCGAGGAGAAAGCCATCTACTTCAGGAATCGAGATCAACAAGCAACATTTTCAAAACAAGGTGTCAAATTTGAAGTACAACCTTATTGAGAAATACAAATATTGTCAAGTCTTTCAAAAGGCTCAGTCTGAAAGCAGGTACAGGTTCAGAGTGCTGGGAAAGGGCGAGAGAGAAATCATAAAAATACAAGGTTTAGAGATTCTTGCATGAAAACAGTAAGCTAGTTTGAGATACCTTCTTTTGAGGGCTTCTCACCGATGATTTGACTTCCAATCAAAACAACTCCATACAGTTCAAGAGTTGCCCAGATCTCTACAATTCTTATGACATAATAAAATGGGGTTTACTATTTGAATTTGAAAGTTCTAATTGCTCAACAAAAGGGATCTTATCAAAACATATTTAAGACATCACTTCTGAATCACAGGCACAGCTTTCTCGTGAAGAAGCTGCCAAAATTCATAGGCTTGTTGGTTTTTTTACAACAGAAACAAGTGGGGAGCAAAAACTTCTTTCTTGAAAATCTAGCAGTCCAAGACCACCTGAACACAAACAGTAGCTGTCTGATCACTGCGCTGCCGCAATGATTTTGTGTAGATTGTAGCAATATATTTACCTTTGTCTATAAACAGCAGTCCACCTAGCACTGATTTTCTAAGGGCTGGCAGAAGAGAGCCCCAGAGTAACAGCATCCTTTCACTGACCAAAAGAAGGTATTAATTTCCTCCTACCTGAGAGATCATGATGAATAAGGTCAGCAAAGTTGGGGTCATCACCCCACCAAAATATCCATAGCTCCCTGCGTCCAGGTCTCTGGTCTCGGCGCCAAACACTGAGTACATCCGCCTTCAGACAGCGACTGAAACTGCTCAAAATAGGGTCCTCTTCCGTGACCGGAAAGAGAATCGGGGCAGATGTTGGACCCTGCCATACATATCGCTTCCATTTAATCCCAGTTAGATCAGCCTAAGGGAAGGAAAAGAACAACTGTCAGACAATGGGGTAGGTACATCCCCAACAGAAACATGCTGCTATAACAAGATGATGGCACAGGAAGAGGCGGGTGGAAGGAAGAAAAGAAGGATTAATCCAATAAAATTTAACAGAAACCATACTTCTAAGTTTTGCATACCTTAGAAGATAAACTGGAAATAATCAGGCACCCTGTTTTAAAATCTACTTCAATAACTGCAGTAAAGCAAGAGCTGTTCGTTTTCACTGCAGCTTTAAGATTACAGAGAGAAGTCAGATTTGATTTAAAATAAAGTGAAAAACGAGTCAATAATGTAGTATTTGCAGACTGCAATTGTCCAATCTACGAAACACTCGCCTTAGCAAAGAACATCCTTCCTTTCGCTTACTTATGCATACACTACCTTTTCAATCCCAGATTACTCTAAGGAAATAGGTAATATTGCAAATCTTAACTCCAGCATACATTCTTCCAGTCATCTACCAGCTTGGAAAATTTCACAAGCTTCTCCATTGTAAAATATTCTCTGTATCTCAGATGGGAAGCCTCTCAAGTATACTTATTTTACCCAGAGCTATCACACTTTTCATTTCTCACACCATAACTTCAGAATTTAAATCCTGTTTTTATCATTGAATTATACATCAGACTTGCATCCACATTATGATCCACTAAATACCCTTCTAGGCAAAAATTCATTTGACTTCATAAAGTAAAAGAGCTACTACTATATGTAATAGGAAACAAACAATTCCTGAATTATTTACAATGCAATACCATACCAAGTTTTAGTGCTGCTTTTTCACATGAGGACAGTCACCTTAAGGTGTGTAGGGGAGGCACTGCCCCGGGTTCTCTTTGAGAAGGGAGAACAAGGTAGGCTGGCATTTGCTTAGAAGTCACTGGGGTTTTTTTTTCTTGCCAATATGACAACACACAAAAGATTACGGCAACGTTTAAACCTAACATGGCAGCCTTCCTACCTTCAGGAGGAGAAGCAATTTAGACGAAAGGTAGTTTGCAACAGTTGATACTTTACAAAGACTTTAAGATTGAAAAATGCACTGCTAACATGGAGCTGCAGGCCTGATGCGGGCTGCAGACGTGTTCAGGCTGTCCA